AGGAGCCGTGCCGTTGCTCCAAATTTTAGCGATTGTGAGTGGTTTCGGAAGCCACCAAAAGGGATTTTGAGAATACAATGCAGGGCCAAAGCTGGGCCCAAATCAGCTCGGAGATGCTCAGTAGCAGGAGGGAGCTTCCAGGTTTGGGCTGCAGAACCAAGGGGCATGGCGCCTTTCTTAGGGAGGGAACCTGGCAAAAACGGCTCCGGGGTCTCGAAATGGACTCCAAACCTGGACCGCAGTTCTACAAAAACGGAGGGGGGGGAGTAATGATTGGTGCCAACAAGGTCCTTCGAAGTTCAGCTAGGTCTCAAACGGAATCTGTGCGAGCGAAATACAAACGAAGAAAAAGACTCGTTTGCGAATGCGGCGGAAAAGGGCCAAAAGCTGAGCCCAACTTTAGGATGTCCTTTTCAAGGGAGCCATCTGGAAGAATTTGACATGGCACGCTGACCAGCCACCCCGGTCCCTGGGTCCCAAGTGAGAGCTTAAAGGGAAACAGCCCTGTCTTAGCTTGATTGGACCACCGATTTCCAGGTGGTTGCTCTGGACTCCTTCTTTGTTTCTTGGGATTGTCAAAGTCTGGTGACTTCTCATTTCCCTCGAACCCATCATTGAGGGGCTAACTTTGATGGTAGAAGAATGTGGCCATTCGGCTCGTTTCTACCATTTCCTTCCAAATGCTGGTAGCTCCTTAGCTCCCTCTTAAAAGGCAAATTTGGCTACCCCCGGCTCCTTGGCTCCCCGCCGCAAGTGGCCCCAGAATCCGTACCAAGCTGCAGGAACAGGGCCAGCCCCAGGAAGAAGCGATAGGTAGGATTGGCAAAGTCCTGGTGGCAAGTAGCGCCGGGGAGCCCTGCGCCGCAAAACTGGACGGGGGCTCCACCCAAAACCATGGCTTAAGAATCGCCAACACCTGTTTTCAGAACTCCTCTGGGTGAAGAAACATAAGTACTGAGAACTCCCTGTCTGCTCTAATTCTCCTATTCTTCTTGTCCGCTTTAAAAAAAGGACCTTAAAACTGCACTCCAGCCAGCATGGTAATGGTACCAGCGAGCAATCATTAACAGGATGGTTACGACCCCAAACATTTCACAGCCGCATCACACGGGTTGAAAAAAACAACCCCGTGGACAACCCTTATATCCTTATGCCCTAGTATCGGTCAGTATCGTTTTTTCCTCAGCAGCGGTTTGCGGTGTTTTGGCAGCTAGCTCGAAAGTTGCGACCTTTGTGTACAAGCGCAGTATACGAAGTACACTCTGCCAGCTCCGGCTTGAAAGTCGCAACTTTTCGAGTACAAGTGTAGTACACAAAGTACATTTTGGCAGCTCCAGCTGGAAAGTCGCAACGGTTCAGTAGTATACGCAGTGCACTTTGGCAGCTCCGGCTCGAAAGTCGCAGCTTTTCAGCGCAAGTAAGTGTAGTATACGAGGTACATTTGGGCTGCTCTAGCGCGAAAGGCGCAAGTTTTCAGTACAACTGTAGAACACAAAGTACATTTTGGCAGCTCCAGGGAAGGCTGCAGGCCAGCTGGTTGGATTCGGCATGGTGGCTAATGAGTTGGGTATCGGTTGGGCATCGGTTTGGGTATCGGTTTGGGCCCTGCAAATTTATGATTCCGCAATCTTGGTTTGCGACAACAACTTGGACCTGATGTGTGTCTTCATGTCTTCTGGGGGCATCGTTTTGTTTTCCTCAGTATGGTTTACAAGGGTTTTGGCCTGCAAAACAAATTAAGGGGCGGCCCCTTACATAACGAAAAGGCGCAAATTTGTTTTTTCAGCCCACATGCCATCTAAATGTCCCATTCTTCCCAAAGACTAGTTTCTTCAGAAAACCGATGAAAACAAAGGGGAAACGGCCGGCTTTTGAAAAGAGCGATGCTTGAAAACACTGGCAAAGGGAATCCACCCCCAGTAACATGAAATGCTAAAGCGTGACGCGAAATTGAAGATGGCTTTCTGCTGGGGCTTACCTTGATTCCAAAGAGCTGCCCTGCGTGGCAACTGACTCCCACTTGAGGGATAGATATCATTTGCGCCTTTCCAACTCAGGAGCCCAAAAAGGGCAACTCAACATGCGCTATCTGAGACCAGTGACATTGCCCCTCCCACATTTCAGGGGAGCTCCTTCGAAATATTAAAATCGCATCATGTTCCACCAAGACACAAACAAGAGAGACAGCTGGCTTTGGGGCTGCTGGGTCCAAAACCGTTTAAAGGGAAACCGACGAGCAGCGGGGTTCTCTCCCACCCATGGACCAAAACCACTTTGCACCAGTTGGGATGGATGAATTGTGTAGCATCCACAGGACCCAATTTGGCCATGAGTTTTTAGCTCCAAAAAAAACAATAAACAAAAGTCACCTCAGAAGGGCACCACCAAAAAAAGACATCCCTGGACCCTCAAATTCCATTAAAATTAGTCATTGCCCTAAAAAGTGTGGTGCCATTTATGGGTCGTTGAGGGTCCAGGCACCCACTTAATTTTGTGAGACAAAGCCCCATGAGTTTCGGGCTATTCGGTCCGGTCCGTTCGGTTCCCAATCCTCCTGGTGCTTTGCCTGGAACACCGCAATGGCATCCTCGTGCCGGCCCCTGTCCTGGCCACGGGGCCAAAGCTGCGGACCAACGCTGTGGTGCTGTGACTGAAGAGAAGCCGAGAAGCCCAAAGGGGCGCAAGTCCATAATTGAACACTTGGCCAATTGTATCAAGTCTTTTTGGGGTGTGTGCTCTTGTGCTCTTTTGGGGTCCCATTTTTCTGTGAGCTTCATCCTCCTCGGAATCCACAGCAACACCGGAAGCCAGGAAACACTTGCGCGCAAGCAGCTGTCCCCGCCAACGTGGCAAAAACAAGAAAGGCGAGGTTCGGCTCAGACAAGCAAACAGGAAGAGAGATGCGATCACCTGAGGCAACACTTGCCAGCGTGAAGGGGCTAAGGCTCCCTTCAAGAGGCAGCTCCAGGGTTCCGGAAGCGCACTGTCCGAATGGCACTGATAAATAAGAGCGATGCACCATCCGGGCAAGTAATACAAGAAAAGCACGGAGAACTATGCAACAGCCCCGCCTCCAAAAGCCATGCCTCTCATCTCATCCAATCCCATCCATTTTCATCCATCTATCAATCAAGCCAATCAATCAACACAAATCTAGTCTGATCAATCCACTCCATCTATCTATACACAGGGGAAAAGGATAAAAACGCCAGCCCAGTCTCCATCCCCATGCAAAAAGAAAGATTCGCCCCGTGCATCCTCCCCCCCCGAAACCGCAACCACCGAACTCGCGCCAGCGCGAGGCATGCCAGAAAGAGCTCCACCTGGCACCCCATGTGGGCACTCTCAGATGAGGGCCGCTGCCGCGCCCCCCAAACCGAGAAAAAACAAACAAACAAAAAACGGTGGGTTTGTTGGGCCGAACCAGCACGCGGGTGTTTTTTTGGACCGAGCAAGAGGTAGAGAGGCAACAAAAAACGGTTGGGCTGAAGTGCCAGAGAGTGCCAGGGTTCACTCTTTGGGTGCAAACATGGGAGCGCGCAATGGCCCCCTTTCCGAGAAAAACATCTAGTCCAAAAGGGGTCTCTGTCCATACTTCTTGAACCCCCCAACCAGTTGTCAGGGTACTGCCAGATCCATCAAGGAGCCCAACCATCCGTTCTCTAGGTAAAGAAATCGCTGGGGAAGACTCCGTTGTTGGGTTCCATGTGGGCAGCTTTACCTGTCCAGATTCATGTCCGCCAACCACTTGTGAGGTGGTTTCGTATCAAATTGCATGGCCAAGTGAAGGTGCGGAGAACTTTTTGACACCTCATTTTGAGGGTCCCAAAAGAAAGGTTCAAAGCCACCCTGTCGCCTTCGCTGCAAGGGCCAGGCCGGAAGTCTCTCGCATACGTCCATAAAACATATGTGGCTTGTTTTCGTTGGGCCTCCCCTGGTTTTAAAGGGAAACCAAAAATCACACCTGCCACTCTTGTTCCCATATTTTGAAATAAACCCATGTCCCTCCTTGCGTGGTGTACTTCAATGTGACTGGCAATCAGCTAGTTTCTCCTTGGTGACGTCAGGTTGGACTTGTCCCACTGGAATTCCGACCATCGCCCCAGGGGCTGTTTCATAGGGCCCGAAGGTTTTTACCTTAGTTGTTGCTCCTCATAAAATCATAGGATTTCTTCTGGATTTCGTGTCCCAGAATCGACCGCAGCGCAACCAGCCAGTTGAAGGACTCGCGAGAATAGTTTTGGGGCATGCCCAAAAATCTACTTATCGCTTGGGTTAGGGGAGTCTCAGAATGGTTTTTTGTACTGTTTCATACCGTGGATGGCCATGTGGGATTCGTGGTTTATCAACCATTCATCGGCGCTCATCCCTCCCAACGGGCGCCTGGCATAGATTTTCTCCAGGATTAGAGGGGATACTGTGCCAATATATATATATATACACACATATATATGAGGGTTTCCGTAAAACACTGAGAAAAAAAAGCGGCGATCCCTCCGCTTCCGCGCCGCTTCCGCGGCGCAAAGCGTACCTTCTGCAGCATCCATAGCTGCGAATGCTCTTCATCTGCTCTGGTCAGCTGTTGAAATTGCGATTGGTTATTCAGCAGATCCAGACCAAGGCATCTCCGTAGAAAATCTCGAGAACATTCCGGGAAAGGCTCTTGGTTCCAGTTCGCGGGCTACGCCAGCGATATGGGCATCGTTTGGGCATCGTTCGGGGCATCGTTCAAACCAAACCGTTTTCTTGTCCAGGCATGGTCAGTTTGATTTGTACGGCAGGCCATCAAACAAGAAGAAATACGGCCGCGCCGTGTTTGGTTGACTTCCCTTTGCTGAAATCCTTGAAAAACACAGTGGTTTTCGACTTCCTTGTCCACCTTCTTCGAGTGAATTGCAAAGGCATGAGGAATGAGAAATGCAGGGGAAATGAAGGGGAATGAAGCCTCTGCGCAAGCAACGCAGTCAGGAACGGCTGTTTTATCCTCAGGCAGGCGGAACTTAGTCACTATCTGAAGAAGTTGTCGAACTGGAGGAAGCACTGGAAGAGCTCTCCGAGGTCTCTTTCAACTTGGTAGTCAACCGCTCGCTGTATCTTTTCCTAGCGCAGAGAAGCTTGCGGGCAGTTCGTCGCATGGCCTTCTCGGACGGGCTCTCCTTGGTGTTGCGCGCGGACACGTCGAGGCCGGCAGACTCATGGAACTTCATACGCTTCATGATCGTGTCAGAGGCACCTCTTTTCGGGACTTCTCGCTTCCACCTCTGGCTACCAAAATAGCCTCGTCGCCACACGCCAGGCTCCAACTCCACCTCCTCAGCCGTGCCCATGTGCCTAGACACGCCCCGTGCGTGAGAGGTCCGATCGCTCAAAACAAAGTCAAGAAACACCGGCTTCAGCCGATTCCGGGTCAGCTGGCGCATTTGCAGGCAGTATGTTTTCTTGATGTGAAACTCATATGTTGCCATGCGCCAAGAGCTCTCTGGTTTGCTGTCAGGACTCCAAAGATCCACCATATACCGTTTGTTTTTCGTTGTGGAATTATCCTTCGCAGCCGCTGCAGAGAACACCTTGTGCAACTGGTCCACGGTCTCGATGCGAGCTTTTCTGTCCTTCACATAGCTTGCAATCCAGGAGTTCACTTTGGAGAATAGCTGATCTACAGCTCCTTTCCCGTGTTTTTCGCAGAGCAAATTGATCTGCAAGTGGCAGCGCAGATTGGCAAACCAACTGCCGACCCAATACGCCACCAGCTCCAAACACCGGTAGTGCGGGCCGCAGTCACTGAAGACATGAACGATGGAGCTCTTCTCCCAGTTGGGCACATAGGATTTCACCTTCTCCAAGAGGCAGGCGCTTGCCAAAGCAGTATGCTCTATCACTGGGGAAAGTTGGACAACTTCTGTTCTTTGAATTTCGCCCCCGACATTCTGCAGCACGACTATCCCGTGCACGGAGCACTCGTGTCGTTCCTTGGTTGCATCGCCAATTTCGGACAAGGCGTGTGGACTGACTAAGCCAAACTAAAGCAAACTGTGGTCCAACAAATCGCCAGGTGCGGACAAGGCGCTGTGCCGTAAAATTGGTCTGAGGTTTCAGTACCTGAGATCGGCAACGACAAGTTCTGCTTCCAGTCCATCCAGATCAGGAGACCGTGTGGCGGGAGATGTTCCGTGAGGTGCGCAATGGCTGCGTTCTGACGCTCGTAGCAGTTCACGTGCCACAGGTATGAACTGTAGACCTGCTTTTCCCATCGTAAGGCGTGTTCCACCTTTGCCTCCAAGCTATGCAAATCCACTCGGGCACGTCCTTTCAGGACTCCTCGCTCGGCCTGATGTCGTTCTGCGTGCTTGTTGATGAAGGTGGCAAACTCGTCCAGCAAGTCCTCAGAGACTGGCACGTTCTCAGGCGCAAGAAGTCTTTCCATGTTGAAGCCTGCGAAGTAGCCAGGCAAAGCAGTTCCCAAAGCGCTTCGCGCGTGCTTGATGAGACGGACCAATCCAGGCTGAATGGTGCTTCGCAGAAGCCAGCAATGATCGCACACATCTGTTTCCTTCCTTGCTTCAATGGCCCAAGGGCAATGCTCATTGACCAATTGGTAAAACAGAGTTAGCTTCACGTCGGCAACCAAGTCGGACTTCCAGTACATCGCGTGAAGCGATGCAGTCAGCACCCGGGCTTCGCGACCCAACTTGGCCAGCCAAATGCTGGAGCTTTGCGTGTTGTTCGACACCAAATCCACAACCTTTTGGATCAAGTCTCGGCTCTGCGCCTTGGATGGGCGCCCCCTGGTTTCCTGCACCTCGTCGCCATGCTTCGCTCGCTTCCAAGCCCTGGGGCCGATCGCAAAACCTGCATCCACCATGCGCTTTCTCTTCTTAAAGGTCCTTGCCAAAGCTTTGTCCAGCGCCGGCTTATCCGCCGTGGATTCTCTGCAGTCTTTCAGCTGCTCAAGAAGCAGGCTACACCTATTGCAATTCTTATTGGTTCGTTCTGAGTTTTTGCCGCCAAGAGAACGCATGATCTTGCGTGATAAAGCACACACGAGCTCTTCTGCATCATTCGTAGTACTGCATCGTTCCAGGATTTTGTCTGCAAACTCCTTGAGGACGTGCCGCTGCTGCCTCTTGCTCAGGTCATGCCAGGGCCGTGGGCCAGAATCGCAAGGGCTGGCACGAGCCTCTGCAGGACCACTTTCCACAGGCACAGGGTTGGGTACACCCTGCCACTCCAAGCCCAAAAAAGAAGCAGCGTCTTGGGTCATCGTGTTTGTTCGCCAAGCAATGGCTAACTTGCTCATCGCGTCCTGAAGGCCGTTGTCTGCCTGAAGGAAGAACATTCTGACGCGCTGTCTCTTCCTTTCCCGCGCGCTCTTTGCTTTCATCCCTCGAAGCTCAGAGGCCAAGGCTTCTTCCAGCACAGGCCCTAAATGCACCATTATCTCGGTCACAATCCTGCACATCACTTTCTCCTTGTCGGCGCTCTGCAAGGTTGATGCTCGGTCGGGAGGGGGGCAAGCCCTTTTGGCGGTTCGCGAGCCATCGGCAACCCACTTCTGAAAGGCGCTCTGGATAGCGCTCGTGTCGGCCATGCTCCTACGGCTACTAGGGCTGTTTTGTTACATCTCTGAATATGGCGATTCAATGTATTCAGGCGCTGGCCGTCTCAAACACCTAGTGCTCAGTGAAGTAAATGCAGAACTGTTTTGGACAAGTCTGTGGTCGAAGCCTGCTACTCTGAGAGAGCTGCGCGCGTGCACAAACACTTCAAGAAGGACCTCGCGCGTCCTGAAAGCTGACATCAAACGTGCCCGCAGTTGCCGAGTTCCAGCTGGAAAAACTAGACTTGTTGGCGCATATGTCAGAAAGCACTGGCATCCTGTCCCTTTTTCTCTCAACCATGGCCTGAAACGAGAGAGAAGGTGTTGGTCACGTGGACAACTGCCTTCAAAAGCTGAAAATCGTTCATTCTGGGTACCGTTCGAGTATCGTTCTGGGTATCGTTCGGGTTCGGCTCGGGGATGCTGCAACCGCTGCGCAAGCAAAGCTGCGCAATGCTGAGCTGCGGGTGTAAGCTGGCACAAAGCAAGGCCGCTCTTTTGGAGAAGAACCTGATGCTGACGCTTCCCGCAGGAAGTAGAGGTTGAATCTGTGTCAAGCTGTCGAATGGTCAAACCTGCCGACGGGAGGTCTTCAATAGAAAACCGATCCCCGGGAAAAATGGAGCTATGCAGGTACACGGTCTGGCGTCCCAGGCCGCTTCACAGCACTTCTACCACCGTCTTCGTTGGGCAGTAGAGCGGCACGGGAAAAGGGGAATAACCACAGACGGCAAATACATGCTCCTGGCATCGAATTACTGAAGCCAAGTCCTCTCACGTGTCCGGGTGTTGGCACTTCTAGCTCTTGCCTCGCACTTGTCCTCGCCTCTTGAGGCGAGAGAAAACTTCAACAATAGATGGCCTCCTTGGCCGGTGTTTTTCTTCTTCTTCTTCTTTTTTTCTTTTCCGGTAACCGATCAGCTCGGCTTTGTCGCTTTTGACCAAAAATGTCAAACTGCATACTCTTCAGCGGCGCCAAATCTGGAAAAGAAAGCCCTGGTTTAACATTTGGCATCAGAAGGGGCACGGGTCCGCAACCACAAGAAAGGGAAGACCACCAACATCGCTTTGCAATCAGCTTGTCACACGCGCACACGCACACGCACACGCACACGCACACGCACACGCACACGCACACCCACACCCACACCCACACCCACACCCACACCCACACCCACACCACACACACACACCACACACCACACACCACACACCCACACCCACACCCACACACACGCACACGCACACACACCCACACACACGCACACGCACATATGCACATATGCACATACGCACACACGACGCTGGCACACACGCGCACATTGCCAGGGTATCGTTTGAGGGGCGTCCGGGGTGTCGCTCCGCCTGCCACCAAAACTCGCAAACGCAGCCCTGACCAGCGAGGTGGACAGACTCAGCTAATACAAGAAAGGCCTGGAATGCAGGCTGTTGGCGTGTTGGATCACCTTTATGCAGGATGTCTGCGCTACGCTTCTCTCTCCACCGCAGAATCTTCCAGACAACTGTTCATGTCGAACCGTCCGCCTGCGCATCACGTGATTTTTTTCTCTCGCCAAGCGCAAGCCTCCCCAGTTTTAAGCTATGAATTGCACAGCGCACTGTGCTCCTAGCACCCACCACTGCCCGAGACGCACTGATGGCTCAGAGCAGCAGGCTACAAGGAAACGGTGGCCTTCTTCCGCTCCGAAGCGCTGCGCGCCGCCGCAGCCATCAGATCCACCAACATTGCCTGCAACAACCGCGCGCCCCGTCAAACAAACATCTGAACGGGCCCAGGCACACAGTCATGTGAGCTGGAATGCTTTGTTACCCACCCCTGCCAGCACTGACCTCCTGGCCTCTGTGGCTGTCTGCAAGATGTCCAGGGCATCTGCAGTAATCCTCAAGCTGCTGGCCTCCTCGTTCGGCTTGGAGCCAGCGCACGGCAGGAAGAGAGAGCGCTTGTGCAAAATCTCGGCCAAAACCTCCTTCGCCAACTTGCCAAAGGGGCCCTTCGGGATGGCAAAGTCTCCTGAGGCTTGCTCAGCCTTAATCTCCTGAGCAGCCTTGTAATGCTTGAAGGGCGCCCGCTTGATGGTGCCCTTCACTGTGCTCTTCTGGCACTTGTTGGAACGCTCCTAGCGCTGCCAAGGACTCCGAATTACTTGAAAACCATTGTGTTCCCTGGTTGGATGTCTTTTGCTGCGCGCAAGATTTGTATTGCAGCCTTGACAAAGCTAGATAAACAGTGTCCATGTCCTGCTTTTGGCCTTCTCGGCCAGCCACACAGGAAACGAAGAAAACTTGGACCCGTTGGAAGCTAAAGAATACCCAACGAAGCCATGCCCCGGCCCTGACGCGGACGAGGCATTCCCGGGGAAGAGCGCGCAACTTATGTACACGCAGCCAAACGATACCCCCAGTATTATTTTTAAGCCCCGAAAGTGACATTCAGGGCTCTTTGCCTGCTTCTGGTTTTCTCTGGACCGCCCGCATAAGAAGCACAGAATACTGGGACATGCTGGGACCCATTGGAAGCTAAACAATAGTCACTCTTGGAAATTGTTCCCCTGCCCGAACGCAGCGGGGGAAGGGGGGGGGAGAGCACAATCCAGCCAAACGATACCCCGAAAGAACATTTAGGCCCATTTCGCTGCTTCTGGTTTTCTGGGACGGCCTTTCTGGGCCGGCCACGCAGGAAACACGAAATGCTTGACCCGTTGGAAGGTGAACAATACCCTTCGAAGTCATTCTCCGCCCCCGACGCGGACGCCCAGGCATTCTGAGGAAAAAGAGCACATGATCATCATAGATGACAAACGATATTTATCCTAAGTGATTTGTTTCAAAAATGCAATTTTGAACTATTTGGCTCCTACTGGCCTTCCTTTCCTACTCAAACAAAGGCTGAAGCAACCAGGAGCCAAGCATTACCCACAAAGCCATTCTCAAAACGCAATTGTGAGCCTGGTGCCGCATCTTGGCGATCTGCCCCTGTGTCTTTGGCGCAGTGGCTGGCATTGCTGGCACGCGTGAGCCTGTGGATGATCGTTCGCCCTGCTGCCGCAAAATTCTTCGGCGAGCCCCAACAGTTTTCCAGCGGTTTGCATCTTGCACAAAATGATTTGAGCTAGCATCAGACCGATCGCCGAGTGGCCTCTTGTTTTTTACGCCGCACGCGTGGCATCCACAAAAGCGAAAGGCTCTGAAAGACTGCGGTCAAACAGTCGTCCCTCTATGGGCCGTCCGTTCACTGCCGACGCATGATAGGCGTTTCTGACTGGTAGCATCCTCTTGCAAGGCAAGTATTGCACAGCACCCCCTGTGCAAGTTCCCACGCCCGATCCGGAATGGATCCGGCACATCTTCAAATCCAAGCGCCGCTTGGAAAGCACCCGGAGCCACGTGGAAAGAGTCAAACGGTGCATTCTGCACAACTGCACGTCCACAGTCACGCATGCTGCAGCAGCCGGCAAGTGAGCATTGTTTTTTTTGGAGGTTCAGGGCTTATACACTGCTGGGGAGGCTACGCGGGGGTCTTCGCGGGGGCAGAACTTGTGGAAGGGTTGGCTTCGCAAGGCTTCGCGGAGTGGCTTCGCCGGGCTTCGCGGATGTTTGTGCCACAAACATCTCTGACGTTGTTGTTGACTCAAGTCGAGTGCGAAAGGGGGCGATGAAAGGCGGCAAGAGAGGCATTGAGCTTCAGGACTAGGGGACATGGCTGGGCCTCAAAGGGGCGGAGCATGGAAGTTGGACCGCAGTGGCTTCGCGGTGGCTTCGCGGAGGCTTCGCGGGGGCTTCGCGGGGGCTTCGCAGAGGCTTCGCGAAAACGTTCCATCGTTTCTAGCAAAACCGGGCCTGAAACGCACAGTGCTCTTCCGGTCGTCTTCCCGTAATCTTCCTGTAATCTTGTCGTAGCCTGCTGACTCTAAACATCAACCTTTGGAATACTACTGCCATGAAAGCGCACAACACACTTGCCATGAAAGCACGCAACACACCCAAACCACGAAGTGGCTTCGCCTGTGTCAATGTTACCGTCGCGGGGCTTCGTGGTACGCAATGTATCACGCAAGTGCCTCTGCGGACCTTTTGGGAGTTCCCCACGAAGCTAAAATCCATCATCTGAGAAAAAACCGCTGCTCAAGTGACTTTCCAGCACGTTACCTTGCAGCTGCAGCCCGCCCCTTGGGTCATGCTTGGCATAATGTCACTGCGTGTCACTGCAACTCAGCACATATCTGACAGAGAACGGGCCCAAACAAGAGCAGTCCTGCAAAGCGCTTCATGAAACCTATAGACGCGCGCGGCCCGAAGTCAGCAAGACAAACTTCTAATCCACATCCGGGACCCTGGCCTCGGTGCAGTCGGCGCAGCGACATATGTCACCGCCAGACTCTTGGAGTCGTTGACTTTCTGCGGCCGATCTTTGAAGGACTATGTCCATCACCCCATCCACGGCTCTCAGCGCCGCCA